CTCAGCACGATTGCCTACGCATAAATCCGTAGTTTTTTATCCGTTGTGTGCTGTGTAACAGCGTTACAAAACGCATATTGTCACGGGGTTGTCTGTGTGTGTATTTGTGTGTGTGTCCCACATTTTATCCCGCACTTTCAACTCGGGAACCACAAAAGCTGGGCGGCTAAAATTTTGGTGTAGTGTTCCCCGCCAACGGATGACGCGGCAAATTCAAATTCAGCCTCCCCGTACCCGTGGGAAGACGTATGACCCCGTGAAAGTTTTTTACAGGTAAATTAGTTTCTCAGGAACCACGGAGTCTAGAAGGCTGAAATTTTGGGGTAATGACCCCCTGCCCACGCTCAACCTTGCCTATTCAAATTCAGCGTTCCCTCGCTGTTGAGTATCACCTACGGTCTCGTGAAAATTTTGGCAAGTAAACTATTAACTCGGGAAACACGGAAAGATATCCATCCTTCAAGGTTTCTAATTCAGCTTTCATACGCTAGTGCGCAAAATTTTTAATCATTTTCCAATTTTTGAACTATTTTTGCATAGACTAAAGTATAAAGCAGTGAAAATCATTAATAGACGATCGTTCGATGGGCTGAATTGCACAAAACGCATGATCGCACCGACTAGTCTGGTGCGTGTTGCTATTTATTTAAAGATGTTTTTTTTTTTTTTTGCGAAACGATAAAAAAACGCGTACGTGGGCCATTTTGTAGCTAAAAATACTCACAAAATCGAAATTTTGCATATAACAAATTGCTATTTCTGTACATTTTCAGCGATCAATCTTACTGAAAATGTGGCATCCTATGTAGCCACTCCATCGACACAAACAGACCCAATCAACCATACGCTAAGCGAACCACGCCTGTCGACAACCGTTGATAGTGGCACAGGTTTGACATTTCACATTGCCCTTTAAAAAAGTGAAAGATATAAATCTTTTTCTGGAGCAGAAGTGCTGTGTATGTACTTTGTCCGATTTGTATTAACTAAACACTGCTGTCCGAGTCTTTTTTTCTCAGTATTTTCCCGCAGTCCTCCTACACATACCCATCGCTTACAGGATAGGAACAGCGGTGTCCCCCTTAGAACAGCCACTGCACCCGCCTTCCAAGAACAGCTGCGTAATCCACATCTCGGAACAGCCACGGGACCCACTTTCCGGAACAGTAGTTGGATTGGAAAGGCGATTTCGCGGCTGTTTTGGAAGTGCTGTATCTACAAAAGTGGCCCGAGTGATTGTTTTCCTTGTTATGGGCATAGTTCATTGATACGTGCTGTCTTTCTGTTATTAGCAAAGAGAACAATGTATCCTGCTCTGTCTTGCGATGACTTTACCTGGATACTACTTATGTAAAAAACAGTTTGTTATCTATGCAGTCAACTGGTGCCAGTTCGCTTTTTCAATTCCTCCAACACTGCCAACATTTAATCTACTTTCCGCACTTACTAGCTCTCGCCGCCGAATATATATTTCAAGAATATTAAGACCGCTTGAGCTATCAATGTGAGTATCCCGTGTTAGTGATGTTACAAAAATGCTTGCTGAGTGCAATTATGCCAAGGCCTTCGATTCTGAACTGCATGCCTCCAGTCAGTAGTATCTACCGCCTGTTCGATGATTGTGTACAGGAATCGCCCGAATGATCGCTTATTTTCACGCAGATACCGTTCACTAATGCACGTTGTTCGGCAGTTGTCTGCAAGGCGAACAGCATGTCTTACCCATCGGATTTTACTTTCTTGCATGGTTGCAATAATTTCCTGCACGTCACTCATCTGACGGAGAGTT